TCCTGCAAAAACAAACCTGCTTTGGAAAGACGCTTTCTGGCGAGTCTCTGCCACACTCTAGCCTGATCGATTGGCGCCCCAACCTCTGCTCCCTCATCTTCAGAATCATCTTCCCGTGGGTTTCGGGCAGAGGTTTTGAAACATGCCTCAAAGGCTCTGGGAACAAGCCTGCAGAAGTTCTGCAGCACTGACACATGGCGCATGCATGGGGCAACCTTTGTCCATTTGTTCAGGGCAGGTACCAAGATCGGCTTTAGCATGACCTGCTCCAAGAGCTCGAAACCCCTCTCCACTGACTCTTCTCGGTCTGTGCAGCATGGCCTGCCCGGGCAGATGTGGATTGGCGGTCCTGCAGGCGGGGCAAAGCCAGGCAGAGGGTTCAGTGAACCTAAACGAGGCCCTAGGCCCTAAACAAAAAACCCTAAAGACGGAAGATTTAGGGCCAACAGCTGCTGATGTTGGGCTGCATTGTTTGGGGGGCTCGAGGCTGGGTGCTGGGGGGACCAAGTTACACAGGCTTGCGCTACACTTGCCCTTCTATTGCACCAGGGATTCTCACGTCTTCATTGTGCTGCACTCTCTATTGTCTATTGCCACTACGGTCTTTGGAAAAGGGGCTGAGGTCTAACAGGAACAGAAGAGCAACCTACACAGGGCTCAGCTCAGGGACACTTTTTCTTCTGGGCGGCTTCAGTGGCTTCAGTGTCGAAGAAAAGCGGCAGGCGTCGAACACTGTGAGCCTACGGGGAAGACGCGGTCCAAGACCAAGACCAAGGATCAAGGACTCCCAAAGACTGCACACATTAGCGATTAGCTCTTTGAAATTTGAAGCACTGCACTATAGGTTCAAAACCTTGGACCTTGGTCTTGGACAAAAGCAGGGGCTCAAAAGTGGGTGCAAAAAAGCCAATGACGAACTGACCTTGATGCACCTGGCTTAAAGCCCTCTTTACTTTACAGACTTTACAGCCTTTCCTGGGCTTTGGCCTTTAGCCAGCGCCAGTATCCTGGCTAAAAGCCGCCGGCCCCAGCAACCTGGCTGAAAGCCGACTTTCACCAATAGCCAGGCCCTGGGCGCCTGGCTGGGGCCGGCACCTGCTCCACTGCGTTCCAGTGGTTCTTGAGGTACATGGCGGTCTCCACATTGGCGCCCAAAGCCATGTCCACCACTCCTTGGCCCCTCTTGCCACCTGACGAATTCAAGAGGTCACGAACCATGTGGAAAGCCACAGCGCTTTGGTGGCTACGTGGGTCTGTGCTCGACCCGCCCAGCTTGTGGTAGAGGGACCAGCACATCTTCTTGACAAAGCGGAGCTGGCCTCGACTGGCAGCGATGTGCAGCGCAGTGGATCCGCTCATAGCCCTGGTCCTGGGTTGGCAACGTTTAGGCGGTTTAGGGTCAGGGTTTAGGGTTTAAGGCCTAGGGTTTATAGGGTTTAGGGTTTCGGCTTACTGTTTAGGGTTCGGCTTTAAGTTTTAAGGAGACTACAGGCCTTAACACATAAAAAAACTCATAAAATTCATGGAATAAAAATCTGCAAATTTAACTGGTCGCCAAGTGACTGGATGGCTGTCGAGCTCATGTAAGCCAAGAGGAGCGTGAGCATCTTGTACGCGTAGTCCGGACCGCCAATGGACCCAAATGGGGTGTCCACCAACACCATCAAAGCTGTCCAGTTTCCAGCCCGCCCCATGGGCGCAGAGACCGCATCTGCCAGGACCGGCGCCTTGTTCAGGACGAACTCCAACGCTGGCCCAAGGCCCAAGCGGGTGATGTGATGCAGGACAGTGAAGCCGTTCTCTTGGTCTCTCATTGACACTAGGGCGCTAGCTGACGTCTGCTCAAGAAGAGGTCCCAGGGTCTCAATGTTACGACTCAGCATGGCTGCCCAAATGTTGTCCTTGGCGGCCTTCTCATCAGCCTGGCTGGTCAGCTTGGAAAGCAGTGCCTGCTGCGAAAGCCTCTGGTTCTCCAGGAGCTCATAGAGTCTTGTCAAAGACTCGTTGGCCTCAGAGTTGTTCTGGTTCCTGAGGTCCTGCACTGCTTTCTCAAGGTTCTGCCTCTCGCTGTCATTGCTGTCATTGACGTTGACCTGGCCAGAGGCCGCCTCAGTGACCTCTTGCTCAGGTTCGTCTGGGTCATAGTCAACTTCTGACTTCAGGTCGTCATCATGAGCCCCAGGCTCGGCCTTCTGCTCGCTAGCGTCACTGTCCGGACCGCTTGCTAAAGACAAGTTGGGTCTATAAGTTCGAAGTTCTAAGTTTGAACACACTATATTCTACACAGAAATATATAATTATATATATATATGTATATATGTATTTATGTATATATTTATATGTATATATATATATATCAATATATATACATATATAATATACATATATACATAATATATTATGTGTATATAAATATAATATACATTCATAAATGTATTTATATAGTTAAAAACACTGCGCCAGGAAACCAAAAGCCAAAAACCGCCAAAAACAATAAAAACAATGATGCATACTCTCCAAGCTGCTTGCGGCAGCCGCCATCTGGGCATCATCGACCTCGCCCAAGGCGGAATCAGCCGCATCGTCGGCCGCGCCTTCTTCTCCCTGCTCTGGGTCTGCAGGAGTGAAGACCAGAAGTTGCTGGTTGAGGGCGCTGAGGTCGGAAATCACAGTGTTGAGGCGCTCGAAATCCTCAGGCGACCACTCGACCCTTGGCGTCAACGGCGGAGACTCAGGAGGCCACTGCGACGGAGTCTGATCAACCATCTCAAACTCGGCTGCCGTTGTCTCGCCTGCGCCTTCAGGCTCCTCAGTCTGGGCCTCCTCCAGTTCAGCGTCTGTTGCTGGCGCCACAATCTCGACATCTGACACCACATTGAATGAATGGTCGGTCTGCATGTTCTCCAAGTCCACGTCGACCTGGCCGGAAGCAGCCGAGGACGCAACCTGGCCTGAGGCCCCCGAGGCAGAGTCGCTGGAATGCCGAGCCTTTGGCACAGGCCAGCTGTCCACAACCTCTCGCGCCAGACCACGAGGTACAGAAGGCAAAGCGGGTCGAGCTGGGCGCTTCTGGGACTCGGACTGGAGTGGCGGGGGGCACAAAGGCTGGAACGGCTTCTGGCCCGGGACGAAACCCAGCTGCAAAGCCAACTGGCGGAAAGACTGGGGAGTGACAATGTCCTTGGCAACAAGATGTGATATCAGAAAACTCACAAGTACTTGCTGTCAGCTGTTGTTCATTGTGCAGGCTTCGGTTAGTCTCTTGCTACTTGTTACTTATTTCTTAGGGTTCATGTTTGATTTCTCATTCCTAATGGCTAATGACTCAGTAAGCAACATTGCACAAATCGTCACAAACCTTAGACAGAAAAACAATCCTGGGCAAAAACAGAGCAGCGTTGGCCCAGCGCGACGCCACAATGATCTCATGTTCCTTCCCGACCATGTCGCCGAGCTGAGACACGACGTGCGACTCGAGGTAGTCCATGGGCTTGACGTTCATCCTGCGATGGTGGTTCGAGGGGGCACGCGATTGGAGGTCGACTATGTTGCGGAGCGAGGAGAGGTAGTCGGAAACCTCCTGAGCGGACGCGGCTGTAAGCCTCAACAACACCAGAGCTGACAAGGTCGCAGACCTGTGAGCTCCATTGTGGCAGGCTATCAGGACGCTGTGGCCCTGCATAAGCAAGGTGACTACCTCGTCCACTTGCCCCAACACCTGCTCAAAAGACGGCCTTCCATTCACAACTCCAGTCCCATCGAGCGTCTTCAAGATCTTCACTGAGACTGTGTCTGGAACCTGCACGTTCGAGGCCGCAGGCCAAACCACAGTGACGCCGTTCTCCACCAGCCGGTGCGGGTCGACAGAGACACTGCCGCCCAACCATAGCTTCGAGCCGTTGCCCGTGTCCAGGACGACGTGCATGGGATGCCTGCTTCAAACCCTAAACCCTAAACCCTAAACCCTCAAGCCTAAACCCTAAACCCTAAACCCTAAATCCTAAACCCTAAACCCTAAACCCTAAACCCAGAACCCAGAACCCTAAACCCTAAACCCTAGCCTAAAGCCTAAAGCCTAAACCCTAAACCCTAAACCCTAAATCGTGAATAATAGTAGTACAGTGTAGTCGTATAGTCTAGAGGATCTGCTAAGATGATTTTAAGATCTATGGCCTACTTCTTAGTCTTCATGACTGTTCATGATGGCTCAAACTACGCTTTAAGTCTTTCAGTGTCTTTAAGTGCGCTACGTTCGGCTTAGGCTTGCTACACTTTAAGTGTGCTACGTTTGGCCTAGGTTTGAAGGCTTATGGCTTATGAGTAGGTAGGGATTTTGAAACTTTGAGGAGCGAGCCTTGAGTTGTAAGCGTCCCTTGCGAAGCACTGTGTCCACGCCGCCATACTGGTCGGAGACCAACTTGCTGGCCAAGGTCTTCACGGCTGCCTTCACTTCAGCTGGCGTTTGCTGTGGACCCGGCCAAAGGCCTGAGGATGCCTGCCTTCGCTGATCGCAGGAATCCCACATGGCCCACAGGCCCTCCCTTTTCACATAGGCAAAGGTGTCCTCGTCATTCAAGTCGAGCAAAGGGTGCCGCCAAGTCACATCTGAACGCCGCTTGGCTGCCATGTTGCCACAAATGAAGACAACACAAAGTCACAAAGACACACAAAGTCTTTACGGCTTTAAGGCTTTAGGGCTTCAAGGGCCAAAACTTGGCCAAAACTCTCCACGAGCCCAAGCTGCGACAACGTCAGAAGCTTCAAAAGCGAGCTGCAACAACACGCTGGTCCCAAAATGCAAAAGTCAAAAATCCCCAACCGCCCAAGCCCAAGGTCCCAAAGCCCAAAGCCCAAAGCCCTAAGGACCCAGGTTGAAGTGATACAACAAGAAGGAAAGTGACCAGCTGCGCATTGCAGAAGGGCTTCAGTCGGCTTGAGGCTTACAACTAACAGCTTATAGCCTTATAGCTTAACAGGCTTGCGGCTGGCGGCTTAACTTTCTATGCAGCAGTCGGTCCTGACCACGGGCCGTTGAAGAACTCCACAAACTTCTTGATGAGAGCTGAGCTCCCAGGACGCAAGCCAGGATTCTCATCTGCCAAACCTTCCAGCAACAGTTCCAAAGTTTTTGTTGCATGTTTGCGAGCTTCAGCCCATTCTTGTTCAAGTCCTGGGGGGTTTGCTTTTCGATAAGCAAGTCTTGGCTCAGCTGACGCTTCACTGCTTTCTTCAGGTCGCTGAAGAGTTTGCCTTTGCTGGTGGTCTTTGCTAGGCAATAAGAACCTGGCAAAATGCCCAACAGCTTTGTTACTTGCTCCACAACATTGCCGTTGCGGTGTTGGGCACACAGCATGGGCAACAAGAAACAATTCTTGGGCAGACTGGCGTGCAAGCTCTTTAGAAGTTTTATGTTGGCTGTTGCTTGATCACATGTGACCAACACACAAGGGTACTCTGCCTGCGTGAAAAGATTACCCGGTCCAAGACCACCTGTCTCTAGGGACAACGCTGACCACATGCAGGAGGCAGTCTTGCGGGGCAGCGCTTGTGGAAGGCGGATAAAATCGAAATCACGAACCTCAGGGTGCTCACCTGGAAAGCTAACGGTCAACTGCGAATGGGAAGCCAAAATTGACCAAGCCCCTGGCCCTTCCTTATCCAGGTTAACTTCAAGTTCGGTCTCATCAAACATTAAGTTCAGAATCCAGAAGGCAGGCTTGATTCCTTCTATTGCCAGGGCCCGAGCTTGACCTTTCAGCTGCGCCAAACCCTTGTCCTGTTCCTTCAAAATGACTTGGGACACAAGGCGCCGACAGGCCTGGACTTGCGATGGACTCGCGCCATCGATTTCTGCTGCGACTTGTCGCAGTGCTGCCGAAGGCTGAGAAAAAGCTGCACGCAACACCGCCTCAGGCGTCCAGACCTTCCAGGAACCTTTCCCACTAACTTTTAACCTTTTCTCTTCGGAACTCATTGGGAGCAAATGGTCGGCCGTTCGGCAACGCCCGGATGAATTGACGTTGGTTGCCTGCACACGACTTTGAGTCCTCCTAGCCTTCAAATACCTTTTGTTTACGGCTTTCGTCCTTGCCCTGGAAGTGTTGGCCTGCCTGAAATTCATGCGACCGCCCCGCCCAAGCCTCCGACCTGGCCCATGGCCTCTGCCTCTGCCTAAACCTGGCCCATGGCCTCTGCCGGGCCTGTGGCCTCGGCCTCTGCCCCTGCCCCCCCTTCGGACCCTGCCAGGCTGCTGCAAATTTGCATGCCCAGGAACAGGGTTCACAGCAACATCTCCTGCGTGCTGCAGAATAATGCCTGCTAAGTCCTCAAGATCCATCAATATTGTACGAAGCTGCAGCTCAGTCTCGAGCCAAGTCGAGCTAATGCCATACTATGCTGCTACGCTCACTATCAATCACTATCGCACCATGTGCTTGCTGATGACTCATGCTACTCATGTTGACATTACAGTCATTACACATTAGTTTAGGGTTTAGGGTTTAAGTGGTTTAAAGTTTAAAGTTTAAGGTTAAGGGCCGGTTAGGGTTTAGGCTAAAGGGTACGGTTTAGGCCTAGTGGCTAATGGCTAATAGGGACTAATAGGCGTTTCGGTTTAGGGTTTTGGGTTTAGGGTTTGGAACCGTGAGGGGACGACAAAGTCGCAAAGCCTGCCAACCAAGACAATGGAAACGATTGAACATTTTCCTGTACAAATGAACACAACTATGAAATGAAAGATTCTCACGATTTTGGGAGTTCCAAACCATGTGTCCAACAACTGTACGCAGTTTTACAACCTACTTGTTTGCAAAAGTCATGACGTTCAAGACCTTGTAAGCAACCATGTGGCACTTGTTGAAAAACCAAAACACATAGTCAAACGCGTGTTGTGCATAGTTTTTGGTTAAGGTGCAAATTTTCCAAAAATTGTTTGCAGTAGTTTCGTCTTAAAAAACTTTGCAAAAACAATTGTCTGCAATAGTTTGGTGTTTTCAAAAGTATTGCAAAACAATTGCATGCAATAGTTTGCTTTTTTGAAACTATTGCAAAACAATTGCGTGCAAGAGTTTGCTTTTTTGGAAACTATTGCAAAACAATTGCGTGCAATAGTTGTGTTTTTTCAAACTATTGCTAAAACTATTGCGGAAACTATTGCGTAGTGGAAAGTATTGAAAAACTATTTAAAAACAATTGCAAAACAATTGCATGGAACTATTGCGTACCCTTTAAGTGGGCCCCCCCCACAGGCCTTCTTGAAAACATTCAAAACAAAAGAATTCGGTGGCTGCATCTACTAGCACTCAGCTTCACAATCCAGAAGAGCCAATTGAAAATTGGATGGCTCGCAACCAACACCTGTGGGTGTATACCCCTCATGTAAGTGAGGTGATGATTACCCTTGGTGTGACCAATGTGTCGGACTTGCAAGAGTTCATCTTTGTGGAAGATTTGGTTGACAAAGGGATCAACAAGGTGACCGCATGCAAAATTCTGCAATTGGTGGGTGAGATCCGATATCGACCCGGAGGACCGGAAAAGGCAGTTCCTTCTGATGCATCTGTACGGGTACAACAATCTTCTGGGAACAAAGGGACTGGAAGAGCGGCGGTGCGAACCCTCACTCAGGTGCGTGAAGCTGAAGGCTCCGGTGCAAAAACGATGCCGAGAGGCTCCTATCGGGAGCTTTTTGATAAGGTCAAGTACCGTGACGCTTGGACGCTTGCGCAGAGGTCTCCACTGTGCGTACAGAAGCTGAAGTTGGTGGGAGTTGGAATGCCACCGGTGAATCCACCAACAAAAAAGTATCGGTCAAGATCAAACCCTGTGAAAAGGGGAAGGCCCTTGCTGGACAAAAAACAGGTGCGACAGGTGCCACGCTCTCGCTCACAGCGACGAGCGCAGCCGGCGGAAGTGGTGGAGAAACCAAAACCACTGGAACTGAAGCCTCGTGGTGGGTTGTCGTATCGGTTCAGCAGAGCGTGGGCAGATGTGGTGGACGATGATGATCAGGCGGAGGCTTTGGTTTCTTATGCCGCTTCCTCAAGCGATTCAAGCGAGGAAGAGACCAAGGCTGTGCACCGCATGCGGGAAATCCTTTTGCAAGAAAGGGATTCACAGAGAACTGCGATTCGTGGCAATGTTCCGATGGGTGGTTCTTCCGGCCCCAATGACGGGCAGAAAAAATCGGTTCACCTTGGCAAAGAACGCGACAAAGCGTCGCGGGGGGAGACCCGCCAAGAAGTGACTTCTCAAGTTTTTTCGCTATCACAACCTTCTCGTCGAGCTGAACAGTCTCAAAAAAGAGCAAGGGATGGCTCAGTTATGGTTGGTTCGCTGGCGGTGGGCTCCACGGATGAGGTTTTACCTGGGCAAGGTGTTGCTGGACAGGTGAATGTCCCTGAAAGCGCTCAAGTTCCTCCTGGGCATGAAGTGGCTGGACAGGAGACGGCGCCGGAAGGAGCGATACAAATTTCTGGCGAGGAGACTGACCAAAAAGAAGGAGAAGGTGGGAGCAATGACCTCCGTGGTGATGATGCGAAGAAGTTGGGCGGTGGTTTGGTGAGGAGTGACCTTCAGCAATTGCTGGTTAAAGGCCTTCTGAATCGGATTTATTGGAAGGTGGCAGTTGGCAAGTTGCCGGTCGGGCAAAGAGACTGCCAAAAAGGGTCCAATAAGATGGATCGAAATTTGGTTATTAGCATGTCATCCGAGGGTGCAAGCGAACAGGATGAGAACCTGGCACTGGAGGACGATGCTGATCAGTCAATGGGTGACGGTGCGATGGTAGTTCTGGTGTATGATCCAAGGACGCTGATTCAGTCGCCAACAACTGATTGGGTTATGCGTCGTGGTCTGACCGATCGTTCCATCTGGCCAGCAATGGCGTACACAGCACAGAGAATATGTGCTGAAATGGTTCAGGTGGATGAACTGAACGCCCAGTTGAATACTGGGAGACTCCTTTTTGAAAGGAGAGATCAAGGATATTATTGTGATTTGCATCATTCGTTCCATGACAATCCGTGCTTGCCGGTGGTGGGAAATTATCCTCTTTCGGTGATGGGTGCACTGCTTTCTCCTGGCCTGGAAAAGGAATTCAGGGATACGGGAAAGTTTGGAACTGCTATGGAGGCAATAGCCTATGATTGGAGTCGCAGTCCAGGCATGGAAGTTCATGTGGAACTTATGGCAAGGGTAGCCAATCTGGTCGCTCCATTCCTTAGACTTGGAGGCCAAGGAACAGTGGTGAATTCTGAGTTTCTCTGGCAGCACGGGAGGGACCAAATGATGGAGTTCCTTCAGGCAGCGACTTGCGCTGATCAATTGGAAGTTCTCTGGAGAAGAATGGACGACGATGCTGATGAGGAAGTGGATCCTACAGGAATGGTGCTGGAGATCCCCGATCAACAAGGTGCGGTACTAGATCAAGGGAACAATGAATCCCTTATTCCCATTGAAGATGCTGGAGGTGAGACACTTGGTGACACTGGAAGGGATGGCAAAGCGCCAGAAGTCTCTCCGGAAGAGGAGACATCCAGTGGGTCGTCAAGACTGGCGGGCACAAGGATTTTCTTGTGGTCAGTGTACTCTCGCGTTGCTTCCAACTTCTCTACGCAGGACCGCACTACTGGGAAGATCTTTGACAGCACAAAAGGGTATCCTGGTGAAGGACCAAACAATGGTGACAATCCTTCCTCTAAGAGGAACTTACCCTGGATCTCTGAAGACTACCTCGACGAAGTGGTGTCAAAAAAGATGGGAAGGTCTTCAGATATGGATGGGCTGGAGGGGTCTGTTCCGGGAAGTGAGGGATCGTTGGAAAAGGTAGAGGTGGAGAATGTTACTGCCTCTAAAATTCTTATGGCTCTTTGGAAAAAGGGATATAGAGCTGGGTATAGGAGGTTGTGTCGTTTGAACGTATCTGGATGCAAGGTTGGAACAATGAAGCGTCCAATCAAAAGGGTGCAGAAGATCGGCACTAGGAAAGCCCTCATGAAGAAGTTCAATGTTTTTGGATCGTCTCAGCGTGGCTCAGGAGCTGGCGGAAAACCAATCATGAAGGTGGTAGGACCAAGGCCAGGTTTTCCAGCTGTACTCCAAGCATCAAATACTGATAGCACCTGGGGTGAAGGGAGCAGTTCTCAAGCCCATGGCAATGTTCATGTAGAGCAGAATCGCCCTATGGACCGATTCGAGGCGGAGCGCTTGGAGAAGAGGAAGAAAGGCTTCTGCTATTGGTTCAGTAAGGGAAAAGATCGCTGCAAATTTGGTGAAGACTGCAAATTCATCCATTCAGAAGATGATGTGGTGCTGCATTCGTATTGGTGCAAATACTATGTGGCGGGGAGACACTGTTTTGCTGGAAAGACATGTGCGTTCTCGCATGATGCAACTGGTGTGAGGTGCATCCAGTTTGCTCAGTCTGGGAAGTGTCGTTATGGTGACAGGTGTGTTTTTGAGCATGGTGAGCTGCTGAATGAACGGAGGCCAAGGTCTCCGAGGACGCCCCCAAGGGATGGTCCAAGGAGAAGTTCTGGTGCAAAAGGTGGAGAAGAGGAGGTCTCTCCTGAACAGTTCGATGATGGTGAGGAGTATTCCATGACCTATGACGATGACACCAAAATGTCGGAACTGTTGATGGAAGCGATTTCAATTCTGTCGAATGGCAAACCAGACTTGGCTCGAGCAGAGGCGGACCCACTGTTCAAACTCCTGAAGTTCAAGGGAGACGCTGACCAGATGGATAGAGAATGGGTTTCATGGACCGACGATATGTTGTCCGTGCTGGAACTTCACGAAGTAGTGAAGTCGTATGATGTTTCGCTCGAGGAGGTGGAAGAATGGGTCAATGACCTGAGGATATGGTTCGAGCGAGCCAACTTGGAAGAAGAAAAAGATCCCAAAAGGGGCAAGAAGAGGTCCCTGGAAAGGGAGTCCAGCAAAGATATTCCTGCCGAGAAGGAGGTGGTTGAA